ATGTTTATGTCTTTATTGAACACACAGTGTAAACATTCACAGTGCAGGGTGGAAAAAGTAACTGGTTGACCCTCCTTAGGCAGCAATAACCTCAACCAAACGTTTTCTGTAGTTGAGGATCAGACCTGCACAATGGTCAGGAGGGATTTTGGACCATTCCTCTTTACAAAACTGTTTCAGTTCAGCAATATTCTTGGGATGTCTGGTGTGAACCGCTCTCGAGGTCATGCCACAGCATCTCAATCGGGTTGAGGTCAGGACTCTGACTGGGCCACTGCAGAAGGCGTATTTTCTTCTGTTGAAGCCATTCTGTTGTTGATTTGCTTCTGTGTTTTGGGTCGTTGTCCTGTTGCATCACCCAAACTTCTGTTGAGCTTCAATTGGCGGACATATAGCCTTACATTCTCCTGCAAAATGTCTTGATAAACTTGGGAATTCATTTTTCTGTCAATGATAGCAAGCTGTCCAGGCCCTGAAGCAGCCCCAAACCATGATGCTCCCTCCACCATACTTTACATTTGGGATGAGGTTTTGATGTTGGTGTGCTGTGTCTTTTTTTTAATATCCACACAGTGTTGTGTGTTCCTTCCAAACAACTAAACTTTAGTTTCATCTGTCCACAGAATATTTTGCCAGTAGCGCTGTGGAACATCCAGGTGCCCTTTTGCGAAATTCAGACGTGCAGTAATGTTTTTTTTGGACAGCAGTGGCTTCTTCCGTGGTGTCCTCCCATGAACACCATTCTTGTTTAGTGTTTTACATATTGAAGACTTGTCATATTTGCAGGACGGTCACTCCTAGGAAGAGTAGCAACAGCACTGAACTTTCTCCATTTATAGACAATTTGTCTTACCGTGGACTGATGAACGTCAAAGCTTTTAGAGATACTTTTGTAACCCTTTCCAGCTTTATGCAAGTCAACAATTCTTAATCTTAGCTCTGCTGAGATCTCTTCTGTTCGAGGCATGGTTCACGTCAGGCAATGCTTTTGGTGAGTTTTTTAATTTTTAGTTTTTAATAGGGCAGGGCAGCTCTAACCAACATCTCCAATCTCATCTCATTGACTGGACTCCAGGTTAGCTGACTCCTGACTCCAGTTAGCTTTTGGATAAGTCATTAGCCTAGGGGTTCACATACTTTTTCCAACCTACACTGTGAATGTTTAAATGATGTATTCAATTTAGACAATAAAAATACAATAATTTGTGTGTTATTGGTTTAAGCACACTGTGTTTGTCTATTGTTGTAACAGATGAAGATCAGATCAAATTTTATGACCAATTTATGCAGAAATCCAGGTAATTCCAAAGGGTTCACATACTTTTTCTTGCCACTGTATGGAATGTATTCCCTGTGAATCTGGTGATCCCCCCCCCCCCCCCCCAATAAAGTAGTGTGTACCAGATTGACGACTAGATGCCACTGTTGCTGCTACACATACATTTAGCTGGTCTCATGTTTTTTAAATAGATCACAACATTTCCTTTACAAATTTGGGTAGAAAACCAATAGATTTGGCTCATTACTAAAATAAATTGTGTGGTCATCCTCACAATTCAAGCCAGTATTCCATGAAAGCAATTCCGTTTGTCCTTCTCTTAGCAACCTAATGCTTCAACCAAACAAGTGGACACTCTCTGAGAGGGCTATCCCTCTGGTGCAAATTGCATATGAAGACTTTTCCTACAAGCCCAAATCGGCTAGGGACTAAAATGTTGTGACAACCCTAGGGCGGCGCACAATTGGCCCAGCATCATCCGGGTTTGGCCGGGGTAGGTAGTCATTGTAAATAAGAATTTGTTCTTAACGGACTTGCCTAGTTAAATAGTGACATTTACCATTAAACCCAAACCAATACCACTGCAATTGCTTTACAGTGTCTGTTTGGGACTTTTACCATTAGAGACCATAACATTGAAACTATTAGAACTGCTGTAGCCTGATGGTTTGCTTGTTCACCCGGAATGGTCTAACTAATCCAGACCTTTTTTTAAACCACAAAAATGGTCAGTTTCCTGGACACAGATTAAGCGTAAAAGGACAAACTGAATTGCTTTCATGGAGGACTGGCTTGAATTGTGAGGATGACCACACAATGTATTTGAATCATGAGCCAAATCTATTGGTTTTCCACCCAAGGTTGCAAAGGTAATGTTGTGATCTATTTAATAAACAGAGACCAGCAAAATGGTTAAAAGAGTGTGGCGGTATAGCAGGAACAGTGGGCAAAACCTGGTACTTTCGCACTACATTATGGTAAATAATGCAAGCGACTTCAATTACGTAATTTCTCTGAACAGGAAAAAAACAAAACATCACGAGATTCACAAGGAATACATTACATAGTATGGAAAAGCAATCCTCCATGCCACAGCTTCATACTACTTGTCAAATATAGAGAATTGATACTGTATACTGGTAGTTGGAGTTGGATTGGCATTGGGGGGGGGGGGGGGGTTTGTCGGTGGCTTTAAGAATAAGTTTGGTCCAAATCGGATTTTGGGTACTCTACTTATTGAATATTATCTGAATCCTATAAATTAAAATGGCCAATTTGGGTGCAATCAATTAGCTTAATTTCTCTGAGATAAAATACAGTTTCAACAAAGCTAATCTTGCCTGTTTCTAACTACAGAAACAATTTTAGAACAATCTGAGATGGTGGGTGTCATGGCTTGCTGAAATGACATGGAACGACTCATTGTGAACCTGTGGCTTGTGATGGTGCGGTCAGAACACTCATCTAAAGACCTATTTAGTCATAAGTGGTGACCATGGAAACAGGGCGGGAGACGAGGGGCTAATCGGGCCCTTTAACAGGTTATTATAGTGGAGTTAGACATTCCTATTCCTATATCCAATTACCATTAACCTGGCACTTCTCATGTGCACTTTCACTTACTTATAGAATTCCTATTGTACCATTGTAGCCTATAATGCATTTGGATCACTATATGCCTCCCTCTGTGTAAGCTCGTCTTTGAGGGGCCATTATGGGCCACAAATGCCTGGTGATGGCAACAAAGGCAGGAATATGACTCATACCCGAATTTGATGTCCATCAAAGTCCTTAAAGAGCCTACACCGAGAAATGCCGGATTCCAGTCCAACCAACCTCGGTCCCCTTCTCATCACTTTGATGCTAGAAATGTTAGGGGGAACAAAACATGAATTTGAATTGTTGGTTGATGGAAGCTCTGTACCATTCTGTGAAGGCATGATTACTTTCACCCCCTCTAAACCCACTACCTAGCCTAGGCCCTATAATGTATTGTGTGTCGTTACCGATTCCAATTGTCTCCCCCTATAACGACCTAATCGCCATGCACGCAAATAGCCCCCTGCTTCATTATGACAATTGAGGGGTTCATATTTCAACCTAATAGTCCCTCTATAACTTTTACCATATATCACAACCTCATTTCATTGGGAGTGCAGTTAGTATGCCAAGTGGAACATTTTCTAATGATGCAGCTCTCTCTTGCACCAAAACAAGGCAGGCGAGCCCGGTGCTTCTGCATCAGTCACTAATGTATCCATCCATAATGTGTTTATAACACTCCCTAAAGGAGACAGCAATGGCTACAAAGACCGAGGCTGGAGTTGGGATCTTATGGGGTTAGGGGGGGGTGTTATACCCAGGCAGTCGCACAAATAGCCATAATGATAATCATTTACAAAAACACTACTGCCATGCTAGCTATTAATGATGGCATCAGATCACACCCGTGGTCCATAGATGTGTCATTAGCAACATATCAGGAAGAAACATCTGAAATGGATACCATGAGAGTGACAGAGGGGAGGAGGAACTGTCTGGTATACAAGCACAATAACATTGAATACTGCTTGACTTTCTGGGCTGTTGATAAGGGTAATAGCTATAATTATAGGGGTTATTTATATATGGCAGGATGTAAACATTATCCTAATTGTAAAGACCTCCATTTCATTTTCTCCTAATTAGACTGCATTCGTGTTAATATGCAGTAATCAAAGACTATTCAGTGAATTCACATTTATGATTATAGGCTAGATTTGTATTATTTAATTTGAAAATGTAAGCATGAGGCTGTATCACTTGCATTCCCTTTGGACGGTTTTCCACTTTCAACATCAGCAGCTCAGAAAAGGCCTACTTGGGCTGCATTTAGACAGGTAAACCAATTCTGATCTTTTTATTCACTAATTGGTCTTTTGACCAATAATTGGGATGCCTGTGTAAAACGCAGCTATTTAGATGGCTTATAATGACATGCCTAATCTATTGATTCTTTCATTTCCTCCCAGACATGTCTGATAGGTGGAGGGAGATAACATTGTTTAAGACGCTTTGATATGACTAATTGGATAGAAAACAGTAAATACGATTTGAGCCAATTGAATCACTGCATTCTGAAATTTTAGGTAAAGGGCTGATATTGTATAGAACCCTCAAACACAACGCTAGACCTTGAAGCCATTAAATTGCCCTCTATATTGGGGCAAAAAGGACTGGGATAGCACACTGTTTTTAGCCTCACAGCACTGGTCCTCTAGATCAGATTTTCCAAACTCAGTCCTGGGGCCCCCACGGGTGAATGTTTGTTTTTGCCTTAGCACTTCTCATCCAATTCAAATAATTAAAGCTTGATGAGTTGGTTATTTGATAGCTTCAGCAAAACCTTTCCAGAACAGCCACCTTTATATTAGATTGCCATATAGCCCATAAATCAGATATGTGCAGTGATGTAAATTGAGCTACCTGCATGGGGTCTGGGTAGAGGTTGCCAATGTTGTGATGAGGGTATTTGATGTGTATGTTAATATGACTAAAGCAATGGTCCATCTAGTGGTAAAAAATGAAAATTGCAGAAGCTTTTAATCTAATCTTGGGGACAAAAAAAACAACAATATCAATTTAGTGCATTTATTTACCAAAATAATGAGTCAACTTAAACAACTTAGTGGTGCATCCATTGCCTTAATTGGGTTTCTGCGGCCTTTGACGCACTCATTTTCTACTTTGAACTGGTGTATTTGGTGACAGCTTTGGTGCCCTCGGACACGGCGTGCTTAGCCAGCTCTCCGGGTAGCAAGAGTCGGACTGCGGTCTGTACCTCTCGGCTGGTGATGGTTGAGCGTTTGTTGTACTGGGTCAGACGAGATGCTTCAGTTGCAATGCGCTCAAACACATCGTTGACAAAGGAATTCATGATGCTCATTGCTCTGCTGGAGATGCCCGTGTCAGGATGGACCTAGAGACAAAGAACACATGTCATCAAGTCAAAGAGAAGTACAGTAGTAGTAGTTAGTGCCTTTAATTCTTTAAAGTCTACACTGTTGGGGGGGGGGGTTCTAAACAGACATACATATTGTCTTGTTAAGGTCATACCATGGATCATTTAGATATTGGAATTTTAGGACCCCTTAGGTATCCCAAAAAATTGATTTTAAATTAGATAAAATACTGAATTTGGCCTTTACTACAGAAACTAAAGAAGACCTGTTTCATTCAATAACCATGGCAAAACATTAGATATTGGAATTTAAGGATGAACTTGTCTTCCAATAAAATTGATTTTAGAAAAAGACGAATTGGATAGACTCCGGTCATAACAAACAGCTTTAGTTGAAATCCACACATGACGATTACAAAAATGCTTGGTTGGGACCACATAAACCCTATTTTAACTCCATTAATTTGTATGGGTTAACTTTAGAGCCAAACGGTGGACACCTTCATGAGTTCAATAGACTAGGCGGTTAAAATATAATCTTGATAGGATAGATATGCAAAATAACCTCGTCTCCAGCCTAATTGCGCATGGGCGAAACTAAGGTCTTTAAAACCAGATAAGGCAAAAAAAACATCCACATGAAAGCACATTTTCCGACACTTACCTGCTTCAAAACTTTATAGATATACACTGCATAAGTTTCTCTCCTCTTGGCTTTTCTTTTAGTCTTCTTCTCCCCGACTGCCTTTCCCTTCTTCTTGGTTACATCGTTACTCATTTCAAAAACTGTGAGATACAACAACAGTAGGTGATAAGTCACGAATTAAACATTCAATTGGCCTGATAAGGTGCACGTTTGTTTATGCATAAGACCTACCTTTAGACACAGTGCAACCGTGATTGTATGTATAACGCTGACGGCACTGTTGTGGGCTATTCACCAGTAATTCCCATCTCATCAAGCTGCCACAACCTGTTTTTAAGTGGCCATTAATTAATGGACAGCTCACGTGGTGTCCGTGCAGGTGCAGTATATTGAAAAATCAGCCTGTCATTCATGCACAATCCACTGGGGGTCGCGCGTGCACCAGCTTTGTACGCATCAATAAGCATTGCATCAATAACAGTCATCATCACCTCAAGTGATTCAGATTTTGGAGTAGAAGTAAATTCATTTTCTTGTAGAATGGCTACAGTGGTCACACTTTCCTTAGCAATTTACACAGTGCCTAATGGTCCTTGACTGTGTGTATAATTTGTTATGAAAATTTAACTTTCATCCTTGCAAATTGGCTGAATATTTTTGTTATCATTTGAAAGACTCCTGTATTCTGTATTTTCAGGAGACAGCAAATGCAGCATGTAATCACACAAGGTAGCCTACATGTCACATGCAAATAATATATGTCACAATAATATAAATACAAAAATATAAACGCAACAATTTCAAAGATTTTACTGAGTTACAGTTCATATAAGGAAATTAGTCAATTGAAATAAATTAATTGGGCCCTAATCTATGGATTTCACATGACTAGGAATACAAATATGCATCTGATGGTCACAGATACCTTAAAAAAAGGTAGGGGCATGGATCAGAAAACCAGTCAGTATCTGGTATGACCACCATTTGCCTCATGCAGCGCGACACATCTCCTTCGCATAGAGTTGATCAGGCTGTTGATTGTGGCCTATGGAATGTTGTCCCACTCCTCTTCAATGGCTGTGCGAAGTTGCTGGATATTGGCGGGAACTGGAAGACGCTGTCATACACGTCAATCCAGAGCATCCCAAACATGCTCAATGGGTGACATGTCTGGTGAGTATGCAGGCCATTGAAGAACTGGGACATTTTCAGCTACCAGGAATTGTGTACAGATCCTTGTGACATGGGGCCATGCATTATCATGCTGAAACATGAGGTGATGGCGGCGAATGAATGGCATGAAAATGGGCCTCAGGATCTCGTCACGGTATCTCTGTGCATTCAAATTGCCCTGGATAAAATGCAATTGTGTTCATTGTCTGTAGCTTATGCCTGCCCATACCGTAACCCCACCGCCACCATGGGGCAGTCTGTTCACAATGTTGACATCAGCAAACTGCTTGCCCACATTACACCATACACTCTGTCTGCCATCTGCCCAGTACAGTTGAAACCGGGATTCATCTGTGAAGAACACACTTCTCCAGAGTGCCAGTGGCCATCGAAGGTGAGCATTTGCCCACTGAAGTCGGTTACGACGCCGAACTGGTGAGGATGACGTGCACGCAGATTAGCAAACCCACAGTTTCATCAGCTGTCCGAGTGGCTGGTCTCAGACGATGAAGAAGACGGATGGGGAGGTCCTGGGCTGGCGTGGTTACACGTGGTCTGCGGTTGCGAGGCTGGTTGGACGTACTGCCAAATTCTCTAAAACGATGTTGGAGGCAGCTTATGGTAGAGAAATTACATTAAATTCTCTGGCAACAGCTCTGGTGGACATTCCTGCAATCAGCATGCCAATTGCACACTCTCTCAAAACTTTAGGCATCTGTGGCATTGTGTTGTGTGACAAAACTGCACATTTTAGAGTGGCCTTTTATTGTTCCCAGCACAAGGTGCACCTGTGTAATGATCATGCTGTTTAATCAGCTTCTTGATATGCCACACCTGTCAGGTGGATGGATTATCTTGGCAAAGGTGAAATGCTCACTAAAACATGGGACCAACACTTTACATGTTGCGATTATATTTTTGTTCAGTGTATTTTCAGTCTTAGGTTTGCAGAGTGATTGGTTGGTGTGGATTCACAGTACCACTGGGCTTATGGTCATCATTGTGGAAGAAAAGTGTTTTGCAAGGAAGCATCAAGGTAACTGAAAACAACTGTTGTGAGAATGTCTGTGGTTTGATTAGACCTAAAACAAGATACTGTGTGTTCATAAAAAAAAAGATACATAAACTAGCACCACAGTAACATCTGTTTTTGTTCAAAACTGTGTCAATATAGTCAAGGAAATTATCTTTAACCACAGAAGGATTGATCATAACCTTCATGTACCATTCCGTGTTTAATTCACGACTATCTAAAGAGGGTTTTGCAGTAAGTCAGAATTAAATCCATTTGACACTTCAGATGGCAAACCACCTGTTGTGTATTTTGTGAGTCTCTGACAAGGTCTTTGTGAAGACTAACATATGCGTGATGTCCATATGTGGCCTTGTCATATCTCCCAGCTCCTATCACAGGATTCCAGAGCTTGTCTGTTGATGAAAGTCCATGTGTCTGTCATTGCAGGAATTGGACAGTTTCATCATATGCAGCAGACATTATACTTTGAAGGTAAGACTTTCTAGCCTGGCGGGTAGGAGCGTTGGGCCGAAAGGTTGCTGGATTGAATCACCGAGCTGACAAGGTAAAAATCTGTCATTCTGCCGCTGAGCAAGGCAGTTAACCCACTGTTCCCCAGTCGCCGAAGACGTGGATGTCGATTAAGGCAGCCCTCCGCACCTCTCTGAATCAGGGGGTTGGGTTCAATGCGGAAGATGCTTTCAGTTGTACAACTGACTAGGAATCCCCCTTTCCCTTATCTTTTTGTGTGTTTTTGCCATGAATGTTTCATCATGTTAGGATGTCCTGATTCGTGACATATAGGCCCGTCTAAACTAGACTACCATGATTTCATGAACTTGACTGGACTATGGACATTGATAATTCATCATATAAGGAATGAATCACCACCTTACCAGGACATTACTAGTTGAAGCTAATGTGTGGTGAGCTTCCTGTAGTAAAATTGGCAACCAAACGAACCAACCAATGAGAGCACAGGGACTAGGGGAGAGGATCTGTTTTACACCAGAGCTTTCCCAGGATCCACTGGGACTCTGCTAGTGCCAGCACTAACAGGGTTGTGACTAGATGGAGTACAGCTAAGACTGGAAGTTACTTTTCATAGCAGGTTAGGAGAGCTTACCCTATTCCTAACTTTAACCTAATTCTCCTAACCTGCTATGTTAATTCTCCTAACCTGCTGCGTAATTTCTCCAAACCTGCTACGAAAAAGTAACTTCCGGTTATAGCTGTATGCCACCTAGTCAAAACCCACTAACAGCTTCATCAAGTACAAAGTTAGCTCTAAATGAGCAATGATCTTATTATTCCAAACCTTGAACAAGCTTCTTTTATTTCTTCCACACACTTTGGAGAGATTTTATTAAATGTATTTTGATCAATGGAGTGTCCTCTCCTGGCTGCTACAATTAGCAATCTCTTATTAGCTGTGTCTTCCAGACCGTCGTGAGGCTTAAGCCTCCCCACATAGATTGCCATGGAGCACAGGTCTCAGACCTTAGCTCTTGCTAATTGCTTGGGGTTATTTTCTCCACAAGCACACAACAACACCCATTCTATTCCATCAGCTGTGTGTAACCGAGGGTGTTCAGTGAACCACACTCGCTTGATGAGTAACCACGTTGCCTAAGACCTCAAGACTTGTGTAAGTTCCCCAAGCTAATGTTCAAGCTTTAGCTCAGTGAGCTATCACAGTATTGTGTCATGCAGGAAATCCAGGTTCAAAGACCCAGGTTATTCACATGTCGAATAAAAATGGAACATAAAGTCCTTATCTCGAACAACAACATTATTCAAGGTCAATGACCTCAGTCATGTATACAGTAGGGGAGACTTGCAAACCACCATTTATACACACTTTTTAGTCTTTTTATGTGCATTTCTCAGCACCAGTATACCTTACAAGACACTTCACAACATTAATAGAAAGACTAAGGTATTGGGTTGAAATACAGACTCTTTTTATCCTCATGTCTTAGTCCAACATGAAGTTATAAGCCATCAAACACACTCTGTCCACTTGTGACAAGCAGCCCCATCAACGGGTTGGTTGTCACACAGTATGGGGTTGGTTGTCACAATGTTTGCTGGTAGCTTATTCCTTTTGTAACAGGAAGTGAGGCAATATAGTATACAGTGTCTTAGAAAGCCTTTCTTTGATCGAACCATATTCCAAACAAAATTCAGCATTTTATGCCTTAAGAACAACATATTACATTTTGAGTACATTTGTGTGTGTATATGTGTGTTTGCACATGTGTGGGTGTTTGACAGAAAACATGTGTGTGTGAAAGAGAGGAAAGAAACCCAGATAGCACAGATACCTCTGCCCAACAGATGTATACATGATGCATTGGGAAGATGCAGTTTAGACATTGTTTGCTAAGTGGCAAGTCGTCTCACAGATGTATTAGAATACCTACATTCTAAATTCTACGGTTCTACATCGTTTATAGATCGGCCAGGCATCAACATCCTATTTTGATCCCTCGGCAAACGCTCTCCACACAACATATTCCTAGTACATTTTGATATGTTGGTAGTGCTGAGCCATTAGTGCTTTTTGAGGTCAGTTCGGTTTCGGTTCGATTAAGAAAAGATAATAACGGTTTTCGGTTTCGATTATATTTTTAGACATGAAATGCCCTATGCATTACAGTGCATTCGGAAAGTATTCAGATCCCTTCCCTTTTTCCACATTTTGTTACGTTACAGCCTTATTCTAAAATTGATAAAAAAATAAATAGAATCTCATAAATCTACACACAATACTCCATAATGACAAAGCAAAAACAACATTTAGAAAGGTTTGCAAATGTATAAAACAGAAATAACTTATTTACATAAGTATTCAGACCCTTTGCTATGACATTCGAAATTGAGCTCAGAGGCATCCTGTTTCCATTGATCATCCTTGAGATGTTTCTACAACTTGATTGGA